TGCAAAGACATGCGCCCTCTGAGTGTTGTGGAGAATAAAGGATTTCGTAATAGGATTAAAACGCTGGAGCCCCGTTACACCGTTCCTTCCCGACAACACATCACGGACATCGCTCTGCCAAAGTTGTACCAAGAAGTCAAAGCGACAGTGCTGGACTCTCTCAGCTTGGCAGAGACAGTTGCTTTGACATGCGATTCTTGGACTTCGAGAGCCACTGAATCGTACGTAACTGTTACAGCTCATCACATAACGGACCAGTGGAACCTTCAGTCTCATGTACTACAAACCCGAGCCATGCATGACAGTCACACAGGTGAACACATTGCAGCGTTACTAACTGACGCTGTGGCTGAATGGGGATTGAACGCAAAGGACCTTGTTGTTGTTGTTAGCGATAATGCACCAAACATGGCTCTCACGGCTAGACTTGCAGGCATAACGCACATACAATGTTTTGCACACAGTCTGAATCTCGCCTCACAGAAAGCAATGAAAATACAATCCGTGGTGCGACTTCTCGGGAGGATCCGACGTGTAACAGCCTTTTTTAGGCGCAGCACCACAGCCAGCAATCAGTTGAAGCAGAAACAGTGCCTCCTTCAGATACCAGCTCACAGATTGATCACGGACGTAATTACAAGATGGAACAGCTCCTATGATATGATAGATCGATTTTTAGAACAGCAACCAGCCATCTGTGCGGCTCTGCTTTCTGCAGAAGTTAGGAAGAGTGAAAAAGAAATTTTCACATTAAGTGAGTCTGACATCATGTGTGCAGAAGAAGTTGTCAGGGCACTCAAGCCTATGAAGGACGCCACCCTGGTGAGAGAGGGGAGCATGCCAACCCTGTCCATCATTGCTCCTCTTCATGCCAAGTTTGTGATGGGTGCACAAGAAAGTGTTGATGATACACCGACAGTAAGGGACATTAAGACTGCCATAGCAGAAGATCTGGGAAAGAGATATGTAAATGAGAGGGAGACACTATGGATGGCATCAACTGTTGATCCTCGGTTTAAGGACCTGCCTTTCCTGTCTGAAGCAGAGGCCAGTGAGACCTATTCCAGACTGTTGGACACTGTGGTGGCTGTGATAAAGAAGGGGGAAAAAAGGAAGTAAATAAATGAATGAATTTACTTGGAAAAATTCAACTGAATTTATAAGAAAGTGAATAAAGTTTAAAAAAAAAAAGTATATTGATGACATTTGTCATCAGATATTAGAGCAGAACAGGGTGAATCTTGGTTTTAAATTTTGACTTTGTGACATTAATACTATTTTAATTTAATGTTTTTAAGGAGCAAAAGAATAAGGAGTCTGACAAACAAGTGGAGGAAGAGAATACCACAGAGGAGGATTATCACCCACATAACAAAAACAGCTTTGACTCGATCCCTCTGCCACCTCTAAAGAGACAGAGGACCTCATGTGCATTGGTGGACTTGCTTGGAGCTATGTTTGTGACAATACTGCACCAAAATCAGAACATGATGTTGCTGCAGCTGAGATCAAGAGGTATAGAGATGAGACCCCTTTGCCTCTCACAGGAAATCCTCTCAGTTGGTGGAAGGACCATGAACAGGAATACCCTCAACTATCCAAAGTAGCAAGGAGTTTCCTATGCATTCCTGGAACAAGTGTCTCTGCAGACAGAGTTTTCTCCTCTGCAGGAGACATGGTAAATGCACAGAGAAGTGTCCTGAGAGCTGACCATGTCGACCAGCTTGTATTCCTGCACAAAAATCTGGAAATTGAAAAATAAGCACTGAGAAAACACTATAACATGTAAAATCTCAGATTTGAGAATGCTTGGTATTTTGGTTGAGTCTCATAAGCACTTATTTGAATGAGTAAATTCCCCTTTTCAGCTTTTACTAAAAGTGTTCCATTGATGGACATTGCAGAGCTGTACTTTATTTTATTAACACTTAATTTTAATGGCACTTTACATTGTTTGTTAATGTTTACTTGGATTCTTCAAGCAGTTTCATTTTTGATTTATATTTGTTTATGTTAAGGTCACATAAAAAGTGCTTTGTTTTCGTTTTTTACAATCATAGTACTTAGTAAGTAAGACCTCAGTGTTACATTGTTTACCTTTTTTCATGTTAAAGAAATAGTTGATATTTCAGTAAAGTAGTTTTTGTTTGTTTATTTAACATGACTTCTCATAAGGCAGATGTTAATTTCTCCATTCATTTTGAACTTAGAGAGAGTGTTTTTGTTTTAGATGGCTCATGTCAAGCATTTAACAGTTTGGACTGTTTACTGTGAGTTTTCCTAATTAAATTCAGTCCTAAACACAAATATCGCCTGGCTTTTAGTATCGCAATATATCGTATCGTCTCCCCTGTATTATGACAGATATTGTATCGCCAGATTCTTGCCAATACACACCCCTAATATATTTGTAATATATCTATATCATGGCTAAAGCACTTCTGGATGGATGCAAACTGCATTTTGTTGCCTTGTACCTGTGACATGTGCAATGACAATAAAGTTCAATTCTATTCTATTCTAAATGTTCAGTTTCTATACCATATGTTAAAACAATGTGTGATTAAAGTGGTGGGTAGGTTCTTTTAAATCCCTTTCATTCTTGCTGTTACCCTTCTCTCACCAATCAACACTGGCACTCGTCTCCACCCACTCAACTCTGCCTGCACTTTCTTTTTCACCTCTCTGTTGCTTTAAATGGTTGACCCAGATATTTGAACATCTAACTTCACTCTCTCCACTCCTTTGGTGTTCACTTTTACAACCATTTCCCTTGCATGCACAAACATAAGTATTCTGTCTTGCTTCTGTTAACATTCATTCCTCTTCTGTCCAGTAAATCTGATCCAGTATGGAAATCTAGTTCTTTATGACCTGCATGTTGTTGTTTTGTTCTTTTTGTTTCTTTATTTGTATTACCTGTAGACATGCTGATAGATGTTAGGATTTTCCTACCGGTTATATGTATTTGCTGGAGTTTCCCTTTCAGAGCCCACAGGGGAGCCAATTAAGATATTTTTAAGTGAGCTTTTAGTGATTTGTTACAGGATTTAAGATTTTTAGTCATAAATCAGCACTTACAGAACAGAAGTGCAGTCATCCAGCTCTGCAACATCACAAATCATTTTCATATAGCTCCTTCCCTTCTTCTCTCAGATCCGTGATATGACAGATATGATATGATATCTCTGTACCTGTGATGTTAACTCTGTGAAAAGTAATTCAAAATTCATGAGAGAATAAGTGAGGGTCTGAGAGGGCACCAGAGTTAGAGAGGAAGTGGGTGACTGTCCTGCAGAACAGAATTCCAAACAGAAGACATATGCAGGGATGAGAGCTGTAAGCAGCACGCAAGAACTGATTAAAGGCACTTAGACCGGTGACTTTACATGTTCTTTAGATTGACACTTTATCACTTATAATCAGTTGCAGGTGAAGAATCTAAACTTGCCACAGTAATGTAAATGCCACATTTACACCACACAAAAAAGAAAGAAAAAACTCAGACATCAAAGACTGAATCACCCGGTTACTTAACGAAATACCACTAACTCAACCACTCCCATACCACTTTACAAACGTGGCAGCTACACTGTATTAATAACTTATCATTCATGATTGTTATCATCATCATTAATAATTTTATTTCAGTTACTATTGTTACTTCTAAAATTAGTAGTAACAGTGGATGCATCATATCATCATCATCATTGATTTATTTACCAATAAATTAGCCGTTTCTTCTCTCATATCATCCTTAATCATACATAAATCCAGTGTGGGAGCCAGCCTGTTGGCTCTGGGCTGCATCAGTCTGCCTATCCTCCAGCGACTCTCTGAGCCTGCCTTTTATGGGCAGCGCACGAAGATGGACCGGCCTCATACTGAACTCACACATGCGAGTTCCCCTAAAGACATTACTGAGTTGTAACAAACTTAACACACTTGTAAAAGAGGTCATGGATAAATTCCCTCGCCGTGTTGGGGAGACGCAGACGATGCCACAGTTAGAATCTGGCCTGCTCACAATAACTCGTTAATGCTGGGCTTACACTGTGCGATTTTTGGCCCATTTGAGCCGATTTTTGAGTCGTGCGATCATCAATCGCTTGGTCGCGAGGGTGTCGTCGCAGCTTCTCACACTGCGCACGCGCAAACACAAATGTCAGCGAAAAAGACGGCGCAGCACGGCAGTGCGGCGTGTGATCTGGACACAAGCGATGGAGGCACAACTTGTAGAACTATGGCAAGCTCACCCGAGCCTTTTCGATGTGGCCTCACAAAATTATCACGACCACAACAACCATGAAAATAGTTGGATCTACACTCCTGCTCAATCACAGCTGCCTGATCAATGTTTTTCATTAGCAATTTAACAAAGTTGATGGTGGTGGTGTGTCTGTGTGAGTGAAAGACAGAGAGAGAGAGCGAGCGACAGAATTTCTGTTATAACCTTCATTTTATGGACGCACAGTTTGAGCACTCAGGTCGCATCAGAGCATCGGGTCGTATAGTGTGAGACCCTGTGCCGTGATCTACGAACTCCTGCGAGTCAATCGTGCAGTTTGAGCAGGAGCTGAATCGCGCGACTGAAAAAAAAATCGCACAGTGTCTGCCCAGCATAACGCCTGGAACACATCTGGCCTCTGATTTCCTAAACATGGCGAGTCTTTGGTAGATTTCAGTAGAAGAGCCCCCTCCCCCATTAACATCACAGTAACATCACATCTAACAGATATCGCACTGCTGCTGCAGTCAGTGGCGTACTCTTGAGTACAGGACACCCAGCAAAGGTCTGCAGGTCATGTGTTGGCCGTTAATAACAGCTTTGATAACATCTTTTTTCACTGAAACGTCATCACGCAGACCAAAAATACGGTCTTCTGTGTGTCAAAGTGACATGTTTCTTGCTTAAACTAAAGCCTTCTCACAGAGGCAGGCGCTTTTGCGGGTCAACAGCAACTGTTAAGCACAAGAAGTTTCTTCGGCGGTACTCTTACCTCGCTCTCCGTGTCTGGGGGCTCCTTCCACTGCGCCGTTCAGCACCAAGAAACAAAGAAGAGCGAGCACACGTCCACACTGTGCCGGGGATGTGTGAGTATTTTTCTGCCTGTGTTTACTATACATTCCTGTGACCCTCGACACTGCCAGCGTTCTTCAACTGTGCCTCCCTCACAGACTCATCCGAGTGTCAAACTCAGGAAAAGAAACCACTTCCGGTCCGAACCACCAAAGTAAAACCGAGCTCCAAACCAAACAGCCACGAATACAGGAAAGAATAAACTGATAAAAGCCAATCATTTTCACCATCCAATAAAATTTGCCCTACAGCCACCAAGTTTGTTCAAGATCAAAATAAAACAAAATAAACACAATCAAAAAACTTTTTTTTACTTCATAATACAAAACATTTAAACATATTTTACCAAATAATTACATTGATTCTAAACATGTACATACATAAAAATATAATTTAATAAAATAAGAATAAGAAAAAAATTCTGGGTTTAATTCTATCCATACCCAAGCTACAGCTGCATGCTGCTTTCATGTTCACTCTCTTTGGTGTTGGTCAAGTTACTTGAAAAAAGTAATCAGTAACTAATTACTGATTGCTTCCCCAAAAAAGTAATCCCGTTACTTTACTGATTACTTATTTTCAAAAGTAATTAATTACTTAGTTACTTAGTTACTATTTAAAAACACGATTTACAACCTGAATAGGTGATAAAGCGATAGATCTTTCAGCCCAATTCTACCTTTTCTACATAATCCATCATACAAAATGTAATCAGATGAAAAGTCTCTTTTTAAAACTTGTTTTATTACTTTTAATCTTTAAACTTTATGCATCAAGCAAACATTTAATTATATGCAACATTCTCTGACTGGAAGAAATTTGTTTAATATTTAAACCTATTTTCTGCACATTCCAGCACATAAAATATATATTTTTTGTGTGTTTACACACAGTCTTTCAAATAGATGCAAGTAAAACACAGCAGAAAATAAATAAAGTCAAACACTAGCGGTCTTTTTGCTCTATTTTCACCTGTAAAGAGGGAGTAGGGTAGGCGGAGGATTATCCTGGTGCAGGTGTGCCGCAGCGGTCAGTGGAAGAATCCGCGAGTTTCTCTGTGAGTTTCCCATTACGTCGTAGCGCACTCGGTGCTTGCTTGGAAGTTTAGGAGGTTTTTTTCGCTGTAAAAAGAAGTTTTCTTCCCACGCACAACGGACACTAATGTTTTTGTCACTTTTTATGGAATCAAACTCAAAGTAAGGTCAGTACTTCCACGCTTTAAACGCTGCACGCTCATACTCTCTCCCGCACTCGATATGTGATCCATTGTTGATCTGCACACAGCTGTTGTCACAAACGTCGCACTTGCTATTGTCACTGTCATGAGACATTCTCGCAAAAAAATCACGGTTTTAGTAACGCAGTAACGCAGCGTTCCTACGGGAAAGTAACGGTAATCTAATTACCGTTTTTGCAATAGTAATCCCTTACTTTACTCGTTACTTGAAAAAAGTAATCGGATTACAGTAATGCGTTACTTGTAACGCGTTACTGTAATCCGATTACTTTTTTCCATCTCTGGTCCTGAATATGTCAAGATTTCGTCACCTCCTCTGGAAAATGTCTTTTCTGCAACGCCGTCACTCCAGTGTATTTTTGTCCTGCCGGGAAGAGAGTGGACACTGAGATGTAACACAAATGACTCGTTTTTTGCAGGTCCTCTGCTTTGTTGGGAGGACATTACCACATGTTACACTGAAAGTGCAAACAGTGTTTTAACTGTCAACTTTCTGTCACAGTAAATTTTATCACGTGCAATAAAACATTGACATTGTCAAAGTCAAAGGAAACTTTATTGTCATCCCACAGTACAGTATATAGAGAGACAAGATGACGAGGCTCCAGTGCAAAAGAACAACAACAAATACAGTAAGAGAAAGAACAAGAATAGAATTGTATACACTTTGAGGTAAAGGGTAAATGACATTTTAAAATTTACAATCATGATTTAAAGTGGCTTTGACGTGTTTCAGATGGCCAACATAGCAGCTTTACAGTTTACAATGTGAGTGAAAGTGACCTTGAGTGAGATAAAGTAAAGTGACCAGCATGAGCAGGATTGCTGAGAGTGGGATTGTCTATAGAGCAGCATGTGATGTGGATGGTAGAAGCCAGCATCACAGTCCCTGGTGAAATGTGGCCTCAGACAGCAGCACTGGCCCTGGTGTAATGTGTATGGGCTTAGCCAACAGCACAGGCCCTGGTGTGGTGAAGATGGCCTCACAGGGAGCACTGGCCCTGGTGTAATGTGGATGGCATCAGCAAGTAGCACAGGCATTTGTGTATTGTGGATGGGATCAGCCAGCAACACAGGCCCTGGTGAAATGTAGATGGCCTCAGCTGGCAACATGCACCCTGGTGAAATGTAGTTGGTCTCAGCCAGTAGCACAGGCCCTGTTGTAATGTGGATGGCCTCATCTAACAACACTGGCCCTGGCGAAATATGGATGGTATTGGTCAGCAACACACACCCTGGTGTAATGTGGATGGCATCAACAAGCAGCAGAGGCCCTGGTGTGGTGAATATGGCCTCACAGGAAGCACTGTCACTGTAATGTGGATGGTAGAAGCCGGCATCACAGTCCCTGGTGTAATGTGGATGGCCTCAGCCAACAGCACAGGCCCTGGTGTGGTGAATATGGCCTCACAGGGACCACTTGCCCTGGTGTAATGTGGATTGCATCAGCCAGTAGCACAGGCCTTTGTATATTGTGGATGGGATCAGCCACCAACACAGGCCCTGGTGAAATGTAAATGTCCTCAGCCAGTAGCACAGGCCCTGTTGTAATGTGGATGGCATCATCTAACACCACTGGCCCTGGTGAAATGTGCATGATATCGGTCAGCACCACAGGCCCTGTTGTAATGTGGATGGCATCAACGAGCACCAGAGGCCCTGGTGGGGTGAAGATGGCCTCACAGGGAGCACTGGCCGTGGTGAAATGTGGATGGCATTAGGGCTGCTCAATTAATCGAATTTTAATCACGATTACGATCTGGGCTTTTAACGATCATTAAAAGTGACCGAGCCGATTATTAGCCCCTCCCTCGTGCTTTACTCTCGCGCTGCTCCGTGTGGCAAATCGAGCGCACCTCTCGTTTCGAACATGCGTCACAACAATTAAGAGGACCCGAGGGAAGCTCGGAAAGCTAAGCAGAAGTTACAGTGGGGCAAAAAAGTATTTAGTCAGCCACCGATTGTGCAAGTTCCCCCACCTAAAATGATGACAGAGGTCAGTAATTTGCACCAGAGGTACACTTCAACTGTGAGAGACAGAATGTGAAAAAGAAAATCCATGAATCCACATGGTAGGATTTGTAAAGAATTTATTCGTAAATCAGGGTGGAAAATAAGTATTTGGTCAATAACAAAAGTACAACTCAATACTTTGTAACATAACCTTTGTTGGCAATAACAGAGGTCAAACGTTTACTATAGGTCTTTACCAGGTTTGCACACACAGTAGCTGGTATTTTGGCCCATTCCTCCATGCAGATCTTCTCGAGAGCAGTGATGTTTTGGGGCTGTCGCCGAGCAACACGGACTTTCAACTCCCGCCACAGATTTTCTATGGGGTTGAGGTCTGGAGACTGGTTAGGCCACTCCAGGACTTTCAAATGCTTCTTACGGAGCCACTCCTTTGTTGCCCGGGCGGTGTGTTTTGGATCATTGTCATGTTGGAAGACCCAGCCTCGTTTCATCTTCAAAGTTCTCACTGATGGAAGGAGGTTTTGGCTCAAAATCTCACGATACATGGCCCCATCCATTCTGTCCTTAACACGGATCAGTCATCCTGTCCCCTTGGCAGAAAAACAGCCCCATGATGTTTCCACCCCCATGCTTCACAGTAGGTATGGTGTTCTTGGGATGCAACTCTGTATTCTTCTTCCTCCAAACACGACGAGTTGGGTTTATACCAAAAAGTTCTACTTTGGTTTCATTTGACCACATGACATTCTCCCAATCCTCTGCTGTATCATCCATGTGCTCTCTGGCAAACTTCAGATGGGCCTGGACATGCACTGGCTTCAGCAGCGGAACACGTCTGGCACTGCGGGATTTGATTCCCTGCCGTTGTAGTGTGTTACTGATGGTGACCTTTGTTACTTTGGTCCCAGCTCTCTGCAGGTCATTCACCAGGTCCCCCCGTGTGGTTCTGGGATCTTTGCTCACCGTTCTCATGATCATTTTGACCCCACGGGATGAGATCTTGCGTGGAGCCCCAGATCGAGGGAGATTATCAGTGGTCTTGTATGTCTTCCATTTTCTGATGATTGCTCCCACAGTTGATTTTTTCACACCAAGCTGCTTGCCTATTGTAGATTCACTCTTCCCAGTCTGGTGCAGGTCTACAATACTTTTCCTGGTGTCCTTCGAAAGCTCTTTGGTCTTGGCCATGGCGGAGTTTGGAGTCTGACTGTTTGAGGCTGTGGACAGGTGTCTTTTATACAGATGATGAGTTCAAACAGGTGCCATTCATACAGGTAACGAGTGGGGGACAGAAAAGCTTCTTACAGAAGACGTTACAGGTCTGTGAGAGCCAGAGATTTTCCTTGTTTGAGGTGACCAAATACTTATTTTCCACCCTGATTTACGAATAAATTCTTTACAAATCCTACCATGTGAATTCATGGATTTTTTTTTCACATTCTGTCTCTCACAGTTGAAGTGTACCTCTGGTGCAAATTACTGACCTCTGTCATCATTTTAAGTGGGGGAACTTGCACAATCGGTGGCTGACTAAATACTTTTTTGCCCCACTGTATTTGGAGAGGAGAGTGACTGCCGTTGGTTGAAAAGAGGGGTAAAAAAAACTTCAGTGGTGTGGAAACATTATGGGTTCGCGGAGTCAGACGTGGATCAAGTAGACACAGTGTGTAAACTTTGCTACGGTGTCGTAGCTGTACCACATAGCAGCACTGCAAAGTTCACTAAACATAGATGTTTACATTTTTCATTTATTTCTTATATTGCAAACATTTGCACTGTTATCAGTATTTGCACACTATTTTATATTATTTTTTAAAGTCATTATTCAATACATTTTATTGTTAACCCTTTAAAGCCAGTCAGAGCAGCACCCTCCATTTTGTGTAACTATT